AAAAGCATTCAGTTTTCTTACAAGACGACTTTTAATAGAAATAGAAGTAAATAGGAGCAAAGGAATCACCCCTGTAAAATCAGGATGGTAGGTACCTTACAGGGTAATTAGATTCAAAACATAGAGAACCCCTCTAGGCAAAACCTTAAGTTACAAAAAAGACACACAGACAGAAATAGTCATTCTATTCAGCACAATTCTTTTCTCAGCCATTTAAAGAAATCATAATCTAATGCATACCTAGCTAGATTACTTACTAAAAGTTCTAAGACTCCATTCCTGGTCTATCCCCGGCAAAGCAGCATACCAACAGACACAGACCCTTTTTCTCTCCCTCCTCCCAGCTTTTGAAAGTATCTTGTCTCCTCATTGGTCATTTTGGTCAGGTGCCAGCGAGGTTACCTTTAGCTTCTTAACCCTTTACAGGTGAGAGGATTTTTCCTCTGACCAGGAGGGATTTTAAAGGGGTTTACCCTTCCCTTTATATTTATGACAGCTCGGGTCCTACAAAACATTACCAGAAAATGTCTCTGGTGAATATACACCCAGAAAAAATCCATAGAGATTAGGAGGCCTAAGTACGGTCAAGCCTCTCTGAAACATCCCAAAGAATGTTAGAATATTTTCTGAGGCAAGGTGGGTGAGGTAATATCTTTCATTGGACCAACTTCTGTTGGTGAGAGAGACCAGCTTTTGAAGTTAGAGCTCTTCAGGTCTGGAAAAGTCAGGCTATGTATGCACTACCGCTTACTGAGGCATAATTTACATCACTCAGGGTTGTGTCTAAACCACCCCCTGAGCAACGTGAATTACAGTGACCCAAGCACTGGTGTGGGCAGTGCTCTGTTGGCAGAAGAGCTTTTCAAGCTGAAGTGGCCTGTTAATGCCCCTCCAGTCATTGAAAAGTTGAAGCGTCTGGCGGGGGTTGTTAGTGGGTACAGGCTGTTATAACACGCCATAAATACAATGCCTCTGCACAGAAGTGACGCATGGGGGGGATGGACAACATGGAGGATTGTTCCCCTCTCTTCTCCCCCCCCCCCCGCCACACAGATTTGCTGCTTGGCTTGTACTGAGATGCTCAGTAACACTGCTGAAATCAGCTGCCCGCACTCTGCCCACCCCACCCACTATCAGCAAGCACAGGTTGTTTGTCTCTACACATGCCTACCACAACATGTGGTATACCTCATGCAGTGTGCTAAATGCCCCTATAATAGGAGTGGGCAAACTTTTTGGCCTGAGAGCCACATCTGGGTGGGGAAATTGAATGTAGGGCTGGGGGCAGGGGGTTGGAGTGCAGGAGGGAATGCAGGGTGTGGGAGCAGGGGTGTACAGAAAGGGGCTCAGGGCAAGGGGTTGGGGTGCAGAGTGCAGGAGGGGCTCGGCAGGAGGGTGGGGTGTGGCAGGGGGCTCAGGGCAGAGGGTTGGGGTGTGGGGTGCAGGAAGGGGTTGGGCGTGCAGGCTCTGACCTCCTGCTGCTTACCTTGACTGTCTCCAGGGTGGCAGCTGCATGCAGCAGGGTGAAGGCAGGCTCCCTGCCTGCCCTGGCCCCACACAACTCCTAGAAGCAGCCAGCACCACGTCCCTGCTGCCCCTGGGGGGTGGGGGGGCCAAGAGGGCTCCGCACACTGCCCTTGCCTGCGGGTACCTCCCCCCGAAGCTCTCATTGGCTGCAGTTCCCCATTTCCGTCCAATGGGAGCTGCAGGGGGCAGTACCTGCAGGCAGGGGAAGTGCATGGAGCCCTCTGCCCACCCCCTCTCCCAGGAGTCGCAGGGATGTGGTGCCAGCCGCTTCTGGGAGTGGAGTGGGGCCAGGGCATGCAGGGAGCCTGCCTTAGCCCCGCAGCACTACAGGGGTGACAATCCCGCGGGCCGGATCCAAAGCCCTGACAGGCTGGATCTGACCCATGGTCCACAGTTTGCCAATCCCTGCCCTATAACAACTATGTGGGTGAAACCAGACAATCGCTGTGCTCTCCAATGAGCTCACATGGGAACATGATAAAAGACAAAACATCCTATCACCTGGGGGTAAACACTTTTCACAAAGTGATCGCTCTATATCTGACCTACCAGTCCTCATCCTCAAAGGAAACCTGCACAATGCTCTCAAAAGATGAGCCTGGGAACTAAAATTCATAAGTTTGCTAGACTCTAAAAATCATGGACTGAAGAGAAACACTGGATTTATGGCTTATTACAATCTGTAACCCACAATCTGTAACTTCCCCTTCCCCCTTTCTTTCATGATTATAACTGGATGGGTGTTAATGGGTCACTTCACCTTGAATGGTACCTTGAAATGTGTTAACTACTTATGCTAAAAACGATCTGTTCAAACCTTATACTTAGTGAGACTGAGATAGTTTCTCAGACCTGAAGACAAGCTTTGTATAAATTGAAAAGCTTGTTTCTCTCACTAACAGAAGTTGGTCCATTTAAAAGAAATTACCTCACCCACTTGTCTCTAATATCTGGGACCAACATGGCTACAACACAGTTCCAAATGCACTGGAACCCAGTGGAAATCTTGTAAGAAAACTTGTACTCATGATGATATTTTCTGGCCAATTTTGTTAGACCCAAGAGGGTTGCATAAAAGGTGAAAGCAATATCCTACCAATTTGAAAATATAGTTAGCTGACACATTTGTATCCCTGCTAGTGCATACAATGATTCTGATAGTGGTATTTCCAGTAATTGGGTTGAATGATGACTGGCTCCCATTAGTTCCTGAATGCAACCTGGTTCTGTTTGTGGTTACCTAAAGTCATGAATAAAACATGGGCTATATCTATGTCAGCTCATTAAAATTGTAATAAGATTTAGTAACGTTTAGCTAAGACTTAAACCTTTTACATGAAATGAGAGATGTCACTGAGTCTGTTTTATGTGGAACAAAAAAAAATCTCTAGAAAATAAAATTAGTGAAATGAACTGTGAGATACTAAGGAATTATATTATCTCCTGGAATCAATCTATGGTTAAAAAAAAAAACCCTAATACTTTGCATTCCTATTTCTTTTGCTGGAATTTCTCTGCAGCCTGATTTTTATTGTCTTAGCAGACTGTTCTGTGTATCTCTATTTCCTTTTAGCATAGGAAGACATAATGCCTAAAACAGATCACAGGAACTTTGTGCCCACAGATGTATTGAGTGTAGGGTTTTTTGTTTTTTAAATCACTCAAAATGAAAGAACTTAACAATTAAACCCTGTACTTGGTGCTTTTTTGATATTAAAGTCAAGATCCAGAGTGCTCTGGGGTGTTAGAGGAAAGATACCACCCCACTGTGTGTTCCAGCTAAAGTCAGTAAACTGATTCTCTGGTATCAGTGAATCCAGGATAGATAATAGATGGTAAAATATAACCTCTATAAATAAACCATGAAATATTCTAAAACAATAAAACACAACATGGGAACCTTGTTGCTTAAAAATAAATACTTAGGGCTTGGCTACGCTTGCAAGTTAGAGCACATTAAAGAAACCCTGGGCGCCCTAGCTTACTACTTGTCCACACAGGCAAGACACATACAGCGCTCTGACTCCATGGCTAGAGCGCTTCTGGTACTCCACCTTGGCGAGTGGAATAACGTTATGTGCACCCCTGCTGGAGTGCTGAGGCGCCAGTGTGCATGCCCTGGTCTGTTAGCACGCTCTGATCGTGTCCCACAATGCCTGTTCTAGCCACTCTGGTCATCACTTTGAACTCTACTGCCCTGCCCTCAGGTGACCAACCGTCAGACCCACCCTTTAAATTCTCTGGGAATTTTGAAAATTCCCCTTCCTCTTTGCTCAGCCAGGTGTGGAATGCTCTTAGTGAATCTTTCCAGGTGACCATGCCTCAACCTGCCAGGCAAGCCCCAGTATGGAGCAATGGAGAGGTGCTAGACCGCATCAGTGTTTGGGAGGAGGAAGCTGTCCAGTCCTAGCTGTGCTCCAGCTGTAGGAATTATGATACCTTTTGGGCAGATATCAAGGGACATAATGGAAAGAGGCCATGACTGGGACACACTGCAGTGCAGGGTTAAAGTGAAGGAGCTGTAGAGTGCCTACTGTAAAGCCCGCGAGGCAAACCGCCGCTCTGGTGCTGCCCCCACTGCCTGCCGTTTTTATAAAGAGCTGGACGCAATACTTGGGGCAACCCCACCTCGACTCCGAGTCTGGACACTTCAGAGCCTCGTTCAACAAGGCGGGAGGAGGAGGGGCAAAGCAGGCACGAGGGTGCTGAGGCAGAGGAAGACCTACCTGCATACAGCAGGGAGCTGTTCTCAAGGCAACAGGAAGGTAGCCAGTTGTGGCAGCAGGTGCTTGGGGAAGGACAAAAACCAGAGGAGGTTCCTGCTAAGTGGTTTTTATTTTGGGAAGGAAGTTATTCAGTGCGGGCTCTTGGGGTGAGGAGGGTTAGGGCTGAATGCATGCCTAGATGCGGAATAGGGCATTGATGTGCTCTCTCCCATGGTGGTAATCAGCCTCAGTGATCTCTTCAAAGGTCTCATCCAGAACTTGGGAAATGTGCTTGCACAGGTTTTTCGGGAGAGCCACTGTGGTCCTTGTCCCAGTAAGGCTAACATGTAAGCGCCACTGTGCCGTGAGGGGTGGGGGGACCATTGCTGCATATGGGCTAGGGCAGAAGCCGCACTGCAGTAGAAGACCCTCCCTTGCTTCCCAGGTCACCCTCAGCAGTGAGATATCTTCCAGGACAAACTCCTGTGGAAAATGTGGGGACAGTGTTCAGTATAGGGGGCCCCTGCCGCTGTTGGCTCGCCAAGGTACAGAAATCCAGAGGACAGTACAGCCGTGAAACAATCGGTCACACTTGACCCTGTGCTTACTCACCATTTTGGGGCTCCTGTGGGTTATGTGCACTCGCTTTGGGATGGGCAAATTATGCTATTGTGTAGACTGTACTAGTCCTTAAGTAGGGGGGAATCATTGCTCTGTCTGGTGTGAACAATGCTGCCTCTGTTAAGTGTTGCATTTTTGCCTTTTCAGCTGCAACCTTGAGATCTCAGCCGTCCATGTTAACACCTGCCAAAAGACGCCAAAGAATCAGAAAGAGGCCACATAGAAGCAAGGAAGAAAACATGTTGCATGAAGTAATGCAGCATGCAAGTAATGAAAATTAAAAAAAAGTCCAGGAGTGGTGGGACAGTGAAAGGAGGATCGGCTAGCAGAATGAGGAGTGCTGGCACAGAAGTGCAATGCTCTAGCAGTAAAGCATAATGATAAGCATAATGAAGCGCCAAGTGGACTCTATCCAGGTGCTCCAGGTAATCCAGAGCATTACCATGCCTACTCCCCCCCCCCAGCCCTTGTCCCAAAACTTTCCCTTGTGCCCCCATGTCACCGCCAACCCACTTTCCCCAACATCTGGGATCTTACTGACATCAGTTGCCTCCAACACCTGTAGCTTCACCACCCAGCCCTGACAACTACAACCCTTACCCACTGCACTCAACCCCCATCACCATGCAGTGTAGCCATCCTGAAGTGCAGCACTCATGAAACAGCACTCCAGACAGGAAGGCTGCATATGAGAACAGGACATACGCAAATCTGTGATTGTACCATTCCCCGCCCCACCCCCTTGCCCTTTGTTTCCCCAAGTAGTTGTTTCTTTTAAATAAATGGATATTTTGGGTTTTGAAAACATTATTGCATAAAGTAAAAGATACCGTAGTCCAGGAAAGAAACAGGCACTACAAGTCAGCGTAGCAAACACAGATTCCTACTAACATTGGAACCACTGCACTTCACTCCCATGCAGGGCACCAGACATTACTGGTGGCTTTCAGCCTCAAATTGCTCCCTCAAGGCATCCCTAATCCTTGCAGCCCCGTGCTGGGCTCCTCTAGTAGCCCTGCTCTCTGGCTGTTCAAATTCAGCCTCCAGGTGTTGAACCTCCGAGTTCCATGCTTGAGTGAATCATTCACCCTTCCCTTCACAAATGTTATGGAGGGTAGAGCATGTGGCTATAACCACGGGGATGATGTCATCGGCCAGGTCCAGCTTCCCATACAGAGAGTGCCAGCGGCCCTTTAAATGGTCCAAAGCACACTCCACAGTCCTTCTGCACTGGCTCAGCCTGTTGTTGAACCTCTCCTTGCTGCTGTCAAGGCTCCCTGTGTAGGGTTTCATGAGCCATGGCATTAAAGGGTAAGCGGGGTCTCCAAGGATCATGATGGGCATTTTGACTTCCTCGACGGTGATCTACTGGTCTGGGGAAAAAAGTCCCAGCTTCCTGAACAGACCAGTGTTCCAAAAGATGCATGAGTCATGCACCTTTCTGGGCCAGCCTGCGTTAATGTCAATGAAACGCCCATGGTGATCCACAAATGCCTGGAGAACAATAGAGAAATACCCCTACCAATTAATGTACTTGGATGCTAGGTGGGCTGATGCCAAAATTGGAATGTGTGCGCCATCTATCACCTCTCCGCAGTTAGGGAAACCCATTTGTGCAAAGCCATCTACAATGTCATGCACATTACCCAGAGTCATGGTTCTTCTGAGCAGGATGCAATTAATGGCCCTGCAAACTTGCCTCAACATGATTCCATCGGTCAACTTTCCCATTCCAAATGGGTTAGCGACTGATCGGCAGCTGTCTGGAGTTGCCAGCTTCCAGTTTGCAATAGCCACCCACTTCTCCACCAGCAGGGCAACTCTCAATCTCGTGTCCTTGCACCGCAGGGTGGGGGCGAGCTGCTCACACAGTCCCATGAAAGTGGCTTTTCTCATTCGAAAGTTCTGCAGCCACTGCTCATCATCCCAGACTAGCATGACGATGTGATCCCTCCACTCAGTGCTGGTTTCCTGAGCCCAAAAGTGGCGTTTCATGGTGGTGAGCATGTCCGTGAATGCTACAAGCAAACTCATGTCATATGCATTACTTGAGTCGATATCATTGGAGCCCTCACTGTCCCTTTGGATCATAAGGAATAACTTGACTGCCAAACGTGATGTGCTGGCAAGACTCATCAGCATACTCCTCAGCAGTTCGGGCTCCATTCCTGAAGACAGAAAGGGAAGACAGAGCTCGCAGTACAAAAAATGTTGAAAGATGGTGCCAAATGTGGACGGAAGCACAGGGATTGCTGGGATGTGAACCAATGCATCACAGGGCATTGGGATAGGCCCCAGAGTGCCCCACTCCTCCTGCCCCCTTCCCACAAGCCACAGCGCCAGAATGGGAAGAGGTGCTCTGTGGGATAGCTGCCCATAATGCAGTGCTCCCAATGCTGCTGCAGTTGCCGCAAATGTGGCCATGCCAGTGCGCTTGTAGCTGTCAGTGTGGACAGAGTGCAGCGCTTTCCCTACTGCGCTCTCTGAAGGCGGGTTTAACTCTATATCTGCAAGTGTAGTCGTGCCCTTAGCAGCATCTCCAAAAGATAAATCTTTTTGTATTTATATAGGTTTAGCTTCTAGACAGGTATTTCTTGTGAGATCCCTTGAAATAGACTTGACCAGTGTACATGTGCTATGGAAAACTATTCCAAGGAAGTTAGAGAAAACTATACTGTTTTATCCTTGTCATTGAATGCAGATGGAGAAAGGTTCATAGGGGTGAGATCTTTATTGCAGCCACAGTTTGAGAAAATCTCAAAACTTATCAGACACAGTGTATAGGTAGGGTGACCAGATGTTCCATTTTTAAAAGGAACAGTGCCTTTTATGGGACTTCTTCTTGTATAGGTGCCTATTACCCCCCACTCCCATTCCATTTTTCCACAGTTGCTATCTGGTCACCTTATGTATAGGAATTGAAGTGCCTGAATTCTTTCCTCAGGTCCATTACGCCCCTACTTTCTTTATTATACATGGGAGCAGGTAGAGAGGGTAAAATAATATTTCAGACCCTATAGATCTGGAAAGATGGGATGTTCATAGGGATCTGTGTTGATTTAATTCTGCTCTCAATATGTCCATCACAGTTGTACCAGTGTATTCAAGAGGGGGCATTTAGACAATGCAGAATGCTTCTGAAAGTCCCATCCCTAGTCAGTAGTTCCATCAGCACTTTATCTGTATTGAAGAGTTTAACAGTGTATACTGCCCCTTTAAGGAGAAGAGTAGTTAGGGTAAGGAGGGTGTCCAGGCTACCCCGTTCTAAGTAGTCTTACCCAAACAAAGACCCTGGGGCAGGCGACATGGAAGGAGAGTGTTACGGGGTCACTCACCGCCTTGGCACCTCCTGCTGGCCATTTCAGGATTAGCTCTGGTCAGTGGATGTGCCCTCCGGTGGCGGTAGCTCTCCCGTCCTTGTCTCCACGACAATTTCAGTCTCACTGCCTCTGCTTTGTGGCACAGCCCTCCGGCTGTGTCACAATCTGGGTCCTCCCTTCTGGGAGACTCCTTCCACAGCAGTCTAGATGCTCCTCACAGCAGCTTAGCAGGCCATAGACTGGCCACTTCTTCAGCAGCAAGTGGTGTGTGCGAGGGAGACCAGGGCCTGCCCACTACTCTAGGTCCCAGCGCAGGGACCCTGTAAACAGCAGCTTCGTGCTGCCCCTCCTTTCTTTCTCCATCAGTCTGTCTCAATTCCCTGGCCACTTCCCCCAGCCCTGGCACCTTTGGCTCTTGCTACTGGTTCCTTTGCCCTCTTCCCAGGGCCTCGGGCCTGCATGTCCTAGCAGCCCTGTTCATGGTACTAGTTCTGCAGTCCTCAAGGAAGCTAGTCCCCTCCATTGGGCTTTCTGCAGCAGACTGACCAGCTCTGGCCTGCAGCTTCCTTTTATATGGACTGTCTGGGCCCCGAATGGCAGGTCCAGCTGCTGCCCTAATTGGCTGCAGCCACTGCTCTAATTGGCTGTTTTCCTTGTAGCCCTCCAGGCTGGGTTTTAACCCTATCACGGCCAGTGCGGGGAAAATGCCCCATCACAGAGAGGAAATGGGGAGAATGAGTCTTGGAGAGAAGAGATGACTGTTTCTTTAAGAGCTTGGAGCCAGGAGTTTTGTAGTGTAGGGTGTGGCAAGGCTCCCTTCTCCCCCAGTCAATCAAGACACAAACCATGGAGGGAGGAGAAAGCTCCTTGCTCTCATTGTGAAGGCAGATAAAACAGAGAGACAATTTACCAGTGGACATTCAAGCCCAGGAGGGAAAGGGGTGACCCAGCGTCATCTTCTGAGGCTCTGACGGAGGGATGGAAACCAGCCCCTGCTGCCCAGGAAAGCACTGTCCAGGAAGCACTTTTGCTATCAAGCTTTTTTGTTTGAGGTAATTTCATTTTGAATAAATAAAGATTTTTGGATAAATTTTGTGAGTAGCCCAGGTGCAGCTGAACCAGGGAAACTTAGAGGGCCTACCCAGACAGCAAGGGGGAGAGCAGCTCAGGAAAGTAAGCAGGAACACTGTGATAAACAGTGTGCTCACTTATAGGGCAACACAGTCTCTGCCCCAGAGTCACATAGACCTTCTGGGTAGCTAGCCAGCCAGAGCACTATAGAAACATTGCAGTCTGTCTTTGAAAATCACTATGATGACTGTAGCCTGCCATGTTCTTCTGATAGGAAATGGGAAAGGCAAAGAGTACGGGAGATCAGGCTCCACCCAAGACAATGGTGTTTTCACGAACATTGACTTCAATGCCATTCTTCCTTACCAACTGCCTGGAGACGTTCACAGCTTGAAAACGTGTGTGAATGCAATTACTGACACTAAGACCCCTCAGGATTTCCTGGTCATTCAAATAGTTATAACATGTGATTACATGGTTTTGTTTAAAGGTACAGGTCTATTCTGAAAGCGACTAAGTGACACTGTGGAGTTCATGTACCTCTCTATTTTTTCTCTTTGCCTTCTGACAAAGCTTTACAACTTTAAAAGATAAAAACAAATTAATTGACTTTAAATGATGTGCTTCTGATGTATCACTAAGGCAGTGAGAAGTGTTAGCTGAAGCAGTGGCTCTCAAGCTTTCCAGACTACTGTACCCCTTTCAAGAGTCTGACTGGTCTTGCATACCGCCACCTGACTTAATAAATACATGCTTACAAAATCAGATATAAAAATACAAAAGTGTCTTGGCACACTTACAGAAAAATTGCTTACTTTCTCATTTTTACCATAGTTATAAAATAAATCAATTGGAATATAAATATTGTACTTACATTTCAGTGTATACCATGTAGAGCAGTATAAACAAATCATTGTCTATATGAAATTTTAGTTAGTACTGACTTCACTAGTGCTTTTTATGTAGCCTGTTGTAAAACTATGCAAATATCTAGATGAGTTGATGTACCCCATGGAAGACCTCTGCGTACCCACAGGGATATGCGTACCCCTGGTTGAGAGCCACTGAGCTAAAGCAATGGAAGGAGGGTGAGGCACTGATGATATAGGACTAGGTGAGAGGTTCAGCTTTAAAAGAGTGTGCAGTAAAGCAGCAAATTTGAAAGCCACTGAATTATGATGCATATAATCTTCACTGTGCACTCTTAAATATATCTGTAACACTCACTCCTAGTTGTAGATTTATATTGTGGACTACCTCCAACTCATAAATAAGTGAACTTAAAACTCATTCACTTCTGGCTAACAAAACCAAACCCAGCAAGACAATTTATTGTTGCACAATCTCCTTTCTGTGATTGTGTACCTGATCATAGGATGGCAAATCCAAGAAATGAGTAGTGCATTCTTACGCAGATACACTCTCAATAGCTTATTGTGTGCAATAAACATGATAGTTCAGTGACTTCAGGAAAATGGATATTGTATTTTAGAGATGAACTGAACTACCAGAAAGTAATTTGGATGGTAGTAACGAAAGGTAGTCACTTAATTGTAGATAGCAGCAGAGACTTTGTCTGCATGTACAATTTCAGAGCAATACATAGGGAGTTAAGTGTAATGTATGGACCTATAGAAGTGAGCTGTATATGTGTCTTAATTTCCTATGCACTATGCTGGACATTCTCACTTCCTCTTCCCTATCTCCAATGCCAATGGCACATGTAATTCCCCTCTCCTGCACAGAACAGATGGGTGCAAATACATAGCTTGTAACAGAGGTGAGGTTATGCCCGAGCAAGCACTGCGACAACATACTCTTTGGGCCAGATCTTCAGCTGGTGTATATTGACACAGCTCTACTGGCTTCAATGAAGCTATGCCAATTCACTCTAGCTGAGGATCCAATATTCCCTTCGTATATTCTGGTCATCAGGCCACCTTTATGTATCAGTAACTAGAACTGATCATAATAGAATTAGATATAAACTCAGAATCAGTCAGGCCACTAATCCTGCAAGTTCATCGTTCTGAGAGAACCCAGGATAGCAATTACTGTACAGAGCTTTATAGTTGTTTGGTTTGTTTAAAAACAAAATGCCTGCTGTAAACAGAAGATATTTCTTCACTGATAATTCGCATTTTACATGGAGCGTAGACCTTAAATAAGCTGTGTGGCACAGAGACATAATTCCATAGAGTTCTCTTACTATTGCAAAATGAGAGAAAATCTGAAGTGTTTGTCATTAGAACTTCTACATACAAGTACTGCAATGTCACCTAGTTGTTGGGTTTTTTAACTCTAGTACATATGAAGTATTATGTTAAGGCATGTCATTGCTGTTTCAAATATTTTCTGTTTATTATTTCCTATTCAGAGCTGTCAATCAAAATGGTGTTATTCTTGGATATGATATCACATCTAATAATTAACAAGATTTTTGACTGAGAGAACAGGTTGGTTAGTCATGGATTTGACATCACATCCACACGTTACAAAGTTTTCTACTGACTGGTCATAAATGAGACTTCCATTGGTACGTGAACCAGATTTTAGAGATGTAGCTTGAGTAAATTGAAAGGAAGAAGAGACAACCTGGTTAATACCAGCTACAGTGCAATGTATGGAGTTTCTGATTTCCCGTTGTGCTGTACTGGACCTCAGCAACAGCTAGGATCAAACAAGTTTTCACCATTGCTGTCTCTCTGTGTGAATGTAGTTATTTGAAATAGAAAAGAGTAAGAAAAAGGGGGAAGAACCCCTACAGTTAACATTAAAATCAGTTTTTCGTATAAAATTGTTGTAAAAACAAGCGTACAGCCATTTAATGTAACTTATTAACATTCTTTTACCTAAGTAAAAAGAAAAGGAGTACTTGTGGCACCTTAGAGACTAACCATTTTATTTGAGCATAAGCTGTAGCTCACGAAAGCTTATGCTCAAATAAATTGGTTAGTCTCTAAGGTGCCACAAGTACTCCTTTTCTTTTTGCGAATACAGACTAACACGGCTGCTACTCTGAAACTTACCTAAGTAAATACGCATTTTAAATCCTAAACTTTCAGACTACGCAAGATTTGAATCAAACAACTTTTCTTATACCATTGCACATTGCAGGCAGGTTACAGTTCTTAATACACAAGCTTAATTTCCTTCTCAGTCTGCGACCAATCTCCTCCATTCAAAGTCTATATCTTCCCAGTGTTCTTGTTGCCTTCAGAGTAGGTGGGGGAGGAGAGAGGTGGTCTCATGACGCTGCTGTCCCTTATTTCATACCCTCAATTCATGTCCCAGGAAAGATACTGGCTCAGACATGTCCTGGTGGGCCTTGCTGAGTCCTCATTGTGTGGAGTTTGTGCAACTGTCTCTCTCAGAATTGTAAATCTCTTGTTTACAATTCCCTTCTGTCAATGGCTTGTGATGGTTGCTTAATGCCTGTTTGGTTGTGGGTCACCACCACCTTTGTCACTGAAAAACTAGCAGTGGGTGTCTCCCAAACTCACAACATATTTCAATAACAACTATAAAGCCAAATCTCATAATTTGATATACATTAACAATACACATATTTTGACAGAACAAAGAGTTTCAGCAGATCATGACCTTTCATATGGTATCTTACATGGCATGCTTTGTATGAAATATCACAGCCACATACAAATGATTAATATGGGGGTTACAGGGTGCTACTCTGAGGTCCAGTGCATCACAGCCACCAATATTTAAATTAAAAAGTTTGAAGAAGGTAGGGGAACACGTTGGCCTTGCTTCCAAAACGACTGAAGTGAGTAATGACACTCCTATTGACTTTGAAGGGTTGGGGACTGAGTCCTTTATGAAGAACTAAGAGACACCTGCAGCAACTTTTTCATACATGCATATCCAGCTAAGTTATACGCGAACAACAGGAATGCGTAGGAAGACTGGAAAACATCCTAGAAATATGAATACAGAAGAGAGGTTTTTGAGCGAGTAACCAACATTTAAAAGAAAATCTGAACCATGCTGTTTGAGTCTGAAATGGGGCTTAATGAAAGGTATTTTGTGGTAGATGGTGATCTTGGCAGTGGCTTTCCTTTTCTAGTTGGTGTAAAATATCTACTTACAGACAAACAGTCAAATTTTCCCACTGAGTGCTCAAAACTTAGATCAGCCAGGTAGACAGGTTGAGCTGTGTGTGATGCTCAGTCACAGAGAGAAGGCTTAGCTTGTTTATTAAAATGGAAATATGCCTGTGACATGTTCTAAGAGCAGCAATAACATCTATTTCCCTTTCATCACTACTTTAATTTCAGCACATTTTACTGCATCTCTCATATTCCTCACATCCTGCGGTATTTGATGGAACTTTACTCCAGCAAAACTCCTATTTGCGTGACAGGGAATTTCACCTGCATAAAGACTGCAGGACTCGGACTCGGGTGCCTCGCACAGGCTGAGAGCAACATGTTGTAATATGTGCATCATATCTGGAGTGTGACGCAGATGACTACCAAGTACTGATATCTACTAGAGCGTCTATGATGAAAAATATGAAACTAAGGATTAGCTGTGGTACAAACACTTTTTGCTGTGCAGTGCTGGCGTAATCTAGTAAACCTGGTGTGTTTGGCCCAGGGAGGATCATTCCAAGGGTGATCCTACAGGGCAATAGAGCTGACGTAGAGGTTCATGTGCCACTTGCCCTTCGCAAAAAGGGGTTGTTTCAGTGGCTGTTAAAGCCTAACATAAGCAAAGAGGGAATGGCCATGTACAGAGCAGCATCAGGATTAGGGCCATGCACATCTGAGCTTTAAGCCTCCTTTGCACGGGTCCCCAGGACTAATGCTTTTTGGTCCAATCCAAAGATCTACAAAGATCCTTTGTATTTAAAGGCTGAGTACAAATCAAGTATTATTTTAACAGCAAAAGTAATGAATTTATGGACGAGGTTGTTTACATTCTCCATCCTTCTGCTCGTACAAAATTGTTCCCATATATACAGTATACTTTTCAGTTCCCTGTCCAGTGCAGTTTTTAATGTCTCAGGTAATAGGGTTTCCATCACTTGTGTTTGAAAGTATTGATATTACTGCAAACAAGGTTAGTGGGAGATATATTTATGGTTCATGCTCTGATGGATGATGATGGTGGGGGAGTGGAGAAAATTACTCTTCCTTGTGATTAGGATTTTCTGGATGAATGGCAAATGAACCAATTTATATTAAATTAATCACAGGGAAACAATTACTCCCTGATCCATTTGTAATAGTGTTACTGAAGGGCTTCAGTAAATAATATCAGGTTTCAGAGTAACAGCCATGTTAGTCTGTATTTGCAAAAAGAAAAGGAGTACTTGTGGCACCTTAGAGACTAACCAATTTATTTGAGCATAAGCTTTCGTGAGCTACAGCTCACTTCATCGGATGCATTACTGTGGAAAGTGTGGAAAGATCTTCTACACTTTCCACAGTATGCATCCGATGAAGTGAGCTGTAGCTCATGAAAGGTTATGCTCAAATAAATTGGTTAGTCTCTAAGGTGCCACAAGTACTCCTTTTCTTTTTAGTAAATAATATGCAGCTCTATCATTTAGAAGATTGTGAGCCAATCAGTCATCTGTTAACAATGGCAAAATGCATTGTGGCACACTGGAATTAGAAAAGTATCAGTGTTTCACATAGAACAGGGTACCTGGGGAGAATTGGTGATAAAGTAACATGCAATAGGACTGGCATTATTTATCCACTCTCTTGTCCTATACTGATGCTCATTTCTGAACAACATCTAAAAGTTAATCCCCTTGCGAAAAAAGATGTTGCAATGAACACTGCCCAGGTGGATTCCTGTGGAGCTCTTTACAGGGTCAGAGTCTAAGAATTTGACTTTTTAAATCATATTAATTTAGGACCAAAGTTGGCAGCAAAACTCATACTGATAACAGGGGTCATTTTGCCTGAGTAAAGACTTGAGGATGTAGTTTTGCAGATTTCCTATTTTCAAGTGAAGAGCTAATCTAAACCACATTCATTGGTCTCATGTCTGCTATGGCTCTTAGCCCTTAAAAATACAAATGTGTGAACCAACAGTGGGCCTTGCAGGTGTCTGTGTGTAGTGCAAATAATGACAACATACATAATTGCAAGGATAGTTACATGCCCCACTAGATGTACTTGGCCACCTAAGCCTCTAATTACACTTCCATTTCAGGTAGTTTTGATGCCCAAGTAACAAATGCTGGGGAAAACGAAACTATTTGATTGCAAAAGAAGAACCAGATTTTGAAAAATCGGCCTATATTGCTTTAAAAATATCTCTTCCCTCCCACCCCAAGGGCTAGATTGCAGTCTGTTCTGTGTGCTGGTGGAGAGGGTATAAATTGCCCATTACTCCCTTGTGCCAGCTACACCTACTGTCATTCTGTGCTGGAGGGAAAACATGTTCCATAGAAGGAGAGGGAAGGGGAAGGGAATGGATGGATCTGCACTCTCTTTCCCACAGGGATTCTCAAACTGGGGGTGGGACCCCTCAGAGGGTTGTGAGGTTATTACATGGCGGGGGAGGGGAGGGTCGTGAGCTGTCCGCCTCCACCCCAAACCCTGCTTTGCCTCCAGCATATATAATGGTGTCAAATATATTAAAGGGGGGGGGGGGGTCACACTCTGAGGCTTGCTATGTGAAAGGGGTCACCAGTACAAAAGTTTGAGAACCTCTGTACTAGTGCATCAGGTGATGTATATTGGGCTAGATATAGACCCTCTGAGAGTCAAAATCTCCTTCCTGTCCAACAATACACTTCCCGTTACTTTGTGTTCATGGCAGAATCAGGACTGAGCCCATATTAGGAAATCCATGATGTGAAGAACAATGTGCTGACAACAAACAGTATAATAAAGCCTTATCCTGAATATGCTCCACTTGATCTTCAGAATTCTCATTCTAGCAGATTAGTCTTTCAGTCCCACGAATATACTATTCTGACCATTGGTATTACTGTAGTTAAAGCTGAGTCATCCTTTCCATTACACACTCTTCTCTTCAGTGATTTGTAATAAACCATGTCTATTAAAATTTGCTAAGGGCTGAGGCTTCCCAGACGAGCCTGAACCCCAAAGCAAATGATTTCTATCAAACCTAATGAAAGAAATCTGTTTGGCTATCTTTTCAGCTACAGAGAGATTTTTCCGGTTTAAAGTTAGTGGACTGAGATGCTGTTTTGCAGCCTTTAAGCTGGTGGCCTATTTCACTGGACCTTATTTCACGAGACTTGGAAAGGAAGTAAATGCCACACCTGTGTCCTTTAAAGGCCCTTGCCTCAGGGCACAGCTTACCATTTGAAATGATGGCCCTAGCTCCTGTTTGCTAGAGCTGGGAATGGGTGACAGGGGATGATTCACTTGATGATTACCTGTTCTGGTCATTTCTTCTGGGGCACCTGGCATTGGCAACTGTCGGAAGACAGGATACTGGGCTAGATAAACTTTTGGTTTGACCAAGTATGGCTGTTCTTATGTTCTTAAACAAAACATATACATAACACAAAATAAAAGAAGTCACTGACACAGGCTGGCTACAGTTCTTGGAGGCCTTTCCTTTGCTTCCTCCAGCTAGGGGAAAGGGGACATACCTGTCCCTTTCCTTCTCTCCCCTTTTGGTCTTATACATCTCATTCAGTTGTCTGATGAACAGAGATCTCTTAACCTTTTCCAGGCAACTGCTCCCCCTTTATCTACACTTGTAGCCCCATTGCTACGCTTCAGATATGAAAT